CACGAGGTGGGCTATGAGCTCATCCACCCATCTAAGTAATAAAAAAACTAAAAAAAAAAACCTTTTTTTTCATGATTGAGCACAAAAACTATATCAAAACATTGAACAACATACCCGAATCTGACGTGTACACGATCGCCGAAAGTCAATTAAAATATTTAATGAGTTACCAGCTCTGTTAGTGGGAGCCGATGACAGGAACAAATGATATTAAATTAACGACACACAAAGGTGGGCGTAATCATTCGTTTAAGCGGTCCGGTGACGGTTAGCGAATGTTTAAACTATTTTGTTGTAAGGACGTTTTTTTTTTTCGGTCGTACATTCTTTGAGTCAGTAGAGCTACACGTGATTTATTCGGTTTTTAAACATTGGGAGCCGTTCAATGATGTAGATAATAAATGAGAAAGAATCGTAAATGAATTCATTCGGTTTGTAAATTATTTGTATTAATTTGATTGTAAAATAAAACAGACAAAAATAACGTTCAGCTAAACAATACTATGTACTCGTTAAGCTTAGGAAAAATGTTATAGTGCCGCCGAAATAAAAAAGAAGGAAGTTCATTCCATAATTGCATTGAGAGCTTAAATTTTGCATCACGCTTTTTACGGGCAAAAATTCTAGTATCTAACTAATAACACATCTGTCTAATAAATAGTCTAAAATATTAAAATACGGGTATTTAGAAGATACAGAAAAATTAGGCAAAACGCACTCATTGGAGCAAGCACAAAAGCACAAAACATTCCAAATCTAATATGAAAAGCCCTCCTGCGCTTTTTTTAAAGATTAATCCAAGGTTGTCAATATCTTATTTAAAAAAAAATTGTAACTATTTTTTATTTCTCACAATTTAGCTAAACTATATACTTAACAAAAGTAAACGTCTATTGGGACACTATATACCTAACAAAAAACAAATACAAATCGATGAAAGGAAAATGAAAAAAGGAGGAAAGGAAAAGGAAAAATTATACCTTAAAGCAATTGACATTTTTTTTAATGTAACTTCAGGAGGAGTAGGACAAAAGAAAGCAACCCTAAACACAATTAGTAGCTTCAAAATTTGAAAACAGTTAATTAACTTAGCATCTGATCGTGTTTTTTGGGAAATTGGGACAGCCCTAGTCGACGTAGAAAGTCGTGATCACGCAGTCACGCCGCATTATCGCATCCACCGAATCTAGTCTACTGTACATTAAAATCTTACAAGTTGCTTTATTTAGTAGCTTCGTAAAAAGCAGTCCGTCTGATGGTCAAGAGATAGCGGTGAAAGGGACCGTTAGAAATAATCATAGGAACACTCTGAAGCTTAGACTATTGTGACTATGATTACATATGTATTTGTCCCTGGCAGTTTGTGACGGCCCATTTTTGTTTTTAATCTTGACCTTTCGTTTGATTTATAACGCATGGACATTACGTTTATGTGTCTAACTGTTGTAAATTATTTCTTATTTCATACACGTTGTAATTATTAGTAATGACCAAGTCAATCATTATGAAACGTTTTGCTCACAGCCAATAATGATTGCAGGAAGGGCTTGTTTGAGGAATTTAAATTTAAATTTGTGATTGCATGTCACTGCGATTCCTTTTGAATCGGTTTTATATACTCACACGGACTCACATTAATTCCTACCAATTGTTTTTTTTTATTGCTTAGATGGGTGGACGAGCTCACAGCCCTCCTGGTGTTAAGTGGTTACTGGGGCCTATAGACATCTATAACATAAATGCGCCACCCACCTTGAGATATAAGTTCTAAAGTCTCAAGTATAGTTACAACGGCTGCCCACCCTTCAAACCGAAACGCATTACTGTTTCACGGCAGTAATAGGCAGGGTGGTGGCACCCACCCGCACGGACTCACAATTGCAATGCAATTTTGTAATTTTTTACGTATTTAATTAATTATAAATGATATTCTTCCGTATTTATTTACGACTTCTACAGGGCACTATTTATTTATTTGAAACAAACAATAATAAGATAAATGTATGTATTGTATTCCTAAAATACTCTAAATGATACCTATAGCATACAACAATCCGCAAAGCTATGAAATAAAATTGTGAAGATTGCGAGGGTATTACTAATGTTATTACATTAAGAAAATTGTCAAATACCATCTTGTTCATCAGGTTACGGGCGGTAAAGGATAATGTGGAAGATCATGTTGTTCCAGCCGTTTCATAATAACAATAATTAGGTCACGAATAGAACAAGTGAACCACGATAATAGTTTGAAAATTTTTTGAATGTTGGTATTGCAAATGTAGCTGTTTCATTATACTCAAACCTAATCGAACAGAAAAATAGATTCTATTTATTTACAGCACTAAGTCATTAAATATTATTTAAGTATTTATGTTTGGGTGACAGCAACATACAAGCGTCCGTTTATTTGCATGCCTAAATTTGTTTTTTCTCCTATCTATTCTAGTAACCTTAAGGTGTTATTCTAGATTCCCCGAGCTATTAGGTGAGCTCACGGGGCTCAAACTGGGAGTGTTGCTAACACTGGCCCTAGCAAGGGTAGGCTTCGAAGAATCTACCACCGGATTGGAAACGCGACCCACTGAGAAGATCCGGCGAGGAACTCAATGGGCTGTGTCTATGGGGGTGGTCCACTATGAAACGAAATTAAGCCGTATAAGTAATTTTAATTCTGTGTACCACTCACGCAGCCCGAACAAAATATGATTATGAACGAACTTATAAAAAAAATTAGGTTAGGTTAAACAGAATTGTTAAATGGTTTCTCTTTGAAACATGTAAAAATTAAAATGGAACAAATACTCATGTTTATCTTAATTTAACTAAATTTCAGACTTAATATTGATTAGAATTATTAAATTATAACACGACTTGTATACAAATTGATTCAGCCCTGACCAGTAAAATACTGCTATTTTATAGCGTTCTTTTTAAATTGTTGTATTTTAATCTAAAATAAATCTAATTATATTTGGCACTAGCTGACCCGGCAGACTTCGTAATGCGTCAATCGATAAATAAAATACCTAAACTTTTATATAAAATAAACTTCAAACAAACAAAAGGAATCTTTCCGACCGGGGACACATAAAAGGGAAAACAAAATTGTTATTTTTATTTAATTCCGAGCATTTTCATATTTATCTACCTTTTAAACCTTCTCTGGACTTCCACAAATAATTTAAGACCAAAATTAGCCAAATCGGTCGGCCGTTCTCGAGTTTTAGCGAGACTAACGAACAGCAATTCATTTTTATATATGTTGGCATTATATTTAATATTTTATTTAAAGATTATGATGTAATTTGGAAGATGAATTTACGGAAATTCCGGTGTTAACTGGTCACCGAGACCATAGACGCCGCCACAACTTGAATATTACCGCCCTTTCTGAGACACGACGGGCGGTAAAATATGTATGTTTGTATTTTTTAAGTTCAGTGATAATTTAAATAGATAATAGGAGTTTCATTAAACTGGACCAAAATTATTGTTTAATAGTATAGCGACAATTCTCTTTCACATTTTTCATAATATCGAATACAAAAAATGTGCAAAGGAGATAACAATTTAACTCCTAAAATGAAAAAATTGAAACACAATATTTTCTTAACCATTTATTTGTTTATCTATCCGAGATTAGTGTAATTAAAAATCTAATTGATAATTTCTATTTTTGTTTGCTTGTGATCAACTATAAGCACTATGTTTCCAATTGTTGAGTGTTAAATTATTGAAACATGTTCCTTGTACTATCTTGTAGATAGTACGTGAATTTAAAAAAGCATGCTAAAACTGCTATGTTCACTCCAATTTATTTTTACATAAATAAGTAAAAAGAAAAAAAGGAAAGCCCTGTATTCAAATTGAGTGTTAAATTATTCAAATCAACTTATTAGCTTCAATGTTATATTATGATATCATTAAATTTATACTACTAAACATTTACACTCATTTAATAAAATTATCATTTCAATATGATTTTAATAAAATTCGACGTAATGTTGATGAACCCATATCATAATTCATACCATATCATTTTGTTTTATTGCTTATGTGGGTGGACGAGCTCACAGCCCGCCTGGTGTTAAGTTGTTACTGGAGCTCATAAACATCTACAACGTAAATGCGCCACCCACCTTGAGATATAAGTTCTAAGGTCTCAAGTGTAGTTCTAAATAAGTATAATATTTTTTGCTTTGCTTAACAAAGCAGAAATTCTAATAAAAACAGTTTAAATAATAACTAAAAAATTACTTAAACTTATTCCGACTTCTCATACACGTTGTTAAATTTTTCAAATCATAGTCTCAATTGTAACGACGAAATTGGAAAAAATTAAAACACTGATGAATTAATTCCAGCCACAGGGCGGTTCTACCTATCAACCCCCGAAACACAGACATCTCTATTTCGCTCTCTCACTCCATTTAAAAAGGTAACAACAGTAAGATTTTGATTAATGAATCGAAAAAGTGTTTTGGTACCTGCTATCGGCGACTCCCACAAAAAGGTGACCATCAAACGTAAATAATACAAACGTTTATTTGTGTTAATATCTCTATTAATCTTGGCGACATGTGCACCTTACTTTTTTTTTTTAAATCTGGAAACGAAGCCGACATACGTGTTTTTTGTCATTTACATTTTAATATTTCCGTTTGATATGTATTTCATAAATTATAACCAGTTTTTTTTTTATGAATGTTATCGATGTCAATACAAATCGATGTTGCATATTATAATTATAGAGTTTTAATGTGTTTTAATGTGAAACGCGCAACATATTGTGCCAAGTTTGAAATTTTGCGACATCTCGTTGTTTTATTTCGCATTGTAACTTTTTAAAGGTTGCAATTTTCAAAAGTGAACTTAATTAAAAACGCCCTAGACTTATTGAATAACTTAATATGCAGATTTATCAATTCAGTTTCAAGTAAATTTTAGATCCCTTTTATTTGGTTTGGTTTTATAAATGTCATAAAAACAAAACTTACCTCTACGCTCCGCACAAAATAGAGTTTCCCAATGGATTATCCGAATAATTTAATTACGGGATACTAATTAATATAAACACATTTTTGATATTCACATAGAAGACCTATACAAAAATAATTTTATTTATGATCACAGATTACAGTATTTATCACCTCATACTTGACATGTTTGTTACAGTATCAAATTTCTGATGTGTTCGTCCGTTTACATCACTTATAGTTCCGGCCGCACAAACATACAACATTCGTTCCGTCTAGTTGAAAATAAGAAAACGCAAGTGTCTTTATTCATCCCGTTGCCCCTCGAACTGATTCCCAACGAGCCGTGTCTAATTGAGAACATCATAAATGCTCCTGAGTCGCGGACATGTCACAAATCAATCCACAAATTGAACGTATTCAACAATAACACAATTTAAAAAAAAACAAAACGCGCGCGAAAATCGAAAACATTAAAACACTAATTAACCCCTACGTCACAGCACTAACGACTTTACCGCACATATAAAACTGTCAAGTATTTCACGAAAATTATATCGGCGTATAATAAACGTCTGAACCCGCATTGAGCTAGCTGTCAAATCTACGAGCCGTCATAGTCGGCTGCCATGAGTGGGCTCGCACACATAGACACGTGCACGTGCAACCATGGACACTAACACACTGACAGCCTCCAGCGGAGCGCGAACGTACGGCCACTCTCACATACAAAGCCCATGATTCATACATGTTTCGCGTTTGTGTTGCTGCGGGTGGGAGTGCGAACATGCAGCGTGCTTTTAATGCGGCCAGACGAAATGATGCCTAACTACGGAATAGACACAGGATCGAATAGGTTTTGTAAACTTGCCGGGTATGAACGCGTGTCCGATCACATGAGAGATTAGGCGAATGCGTGCGAATGCATGAAGCGTAGCGCTACGGATGGGCGGGAAACGCTATCGAGAGACCGCCGCTCTATCTACGATTCGAATCAAAGCAATTCTTTTCATTTTAACAAGCAAGGTCATTTTATAATCAATAAATTGTCCTGTAACTAACATTTTACGAAACCATAAATAACTATGCAATGTATTTCGTGGTTTAAAAATTAGATTTCGCTAATACATTAATAAATGCTGAAAATCTGTTTTTTCTTCTTGAAACTTGTTTGTTGCAATATTTTAGAATTGAAAAAGAGAGGTGGTAAGCTTCTCTTACATTTTCAGCTGTCGCTTACCCGCACACACATATACATTCAACGCCCGAACAACACGGGGTTCGTGCGAACTTGAAATACGACTTCATGCAAATCACAATTGAATTGATAATGGCTTGAGCACGTGACAAAATAAACGATCACTGCACACACATACACCAGATTTCCGATTCGAAATTTGTATTTACTTCAATCTCTACGGCTTCCGAGAACTCCTGAGATTCTTACCTGTAACAAAAAAAAAACAAACAATTATTTTAAAATGTTAAAAAAAAAAACAATTCAAAATAATGTAATCTTGTAAATTGAAAATGCGATACGCCATGAATTAGGACGCCGTAAATAATGGTTAATGCTAATTAAAAATGTTTTTTTTTATTATTGTAGGTCCATACATAAATAATGTTTAATTTATTCCAATATAGCGATGACAAATATCCGTTTCGTAAACTAACAGCACAATTTCCGGGCGCAAAATTTATTAGCGATTTTTTTATTAGCTACAGTGTAAGTCATTTAGATTATTACCATTTGACTTATTATTAATCGATAGACGATTAGTAAACACGTCTGGACGAGACAGTAACGTCATTCATAATTGCACGCTTATCAGGAATCAGGGAACATAACATTTTCAAAAAGTCGTTGCCTTTGTGTACATTTGACCCGATACGATATCGTAAGGTCATGAGCAGCTCAGAGAGATAAGTAGGACAGTGTTCGAACTAAATAAGTCAAGTTCATTTTAACTATTTTATATAAAGCGTTTAATTGTACAGTAGGAAAAAGAGCAAGGCAGATATGGAAAAGATTTTAGTGTGAAATTAAATTTAATTAATGGTAGTAGAGTAGAAATATAGGTTTTATTCATTAGACCTATGACACTGTGACATTATTTAGATTATTGGTAACGAATCATTTCGAGAGATATATGTCTGGTAATTAAATTGAAGTAAGGTTTGCAACGAAAACTTGATAGTTTAAGAATCATGAATAAGATATGATATGATAGTAATATAAGTCCACTTTTAGATAGACTTCCAATAATAGGATAAGACGTGTATAGTTCTCGTCTTCTGGAAATAGTCTCACCAATTGCTTAGAAAATCTTATCCTAAAAATGGTAACGCAGATACTTATACTATTTCACTAGAACCGTCCCGTGGTTTCCCGCGTTGAATTTTTAAATCAGGGAGAGTAAAACATGTTGCATTTTCACGGAATAAAGTCGCTTGTATTACTCTCTAATCCAATAACTACAAGTCAATTTGTAAATTCATTGCTAGGTAAAATAATGACCAACGAAGATCCGATTATATATTTATATTTAATATAACGTTATAATATGACCTTAGTTACGTATTACGTTATAATGTAACGCTAGTTTTTAACCTTTACATTTATAATTAGAACGTAGATAGATGATACCGGCATCTCGTTTTTACCATCGCACCGCCCGCCACCGGAGTAGAGTTCATCCATACTACCTGGAGCCACTGCGGTCATCCACAGTGCGTTTCCAGAGGTCTTTTTTGCCACGTGCCATCCGGCTATGGAATGAGCTCCCCTCCACGGTGTTTCCCGAGCGCTATGACATGTCCTTCTTCAAACGAGGCTTGTGGAGAGTATTAACGGTAGGCAGCGGCTTGGCTCTGCCCCCGGCATTGCTGAAGTCCATGGGCGACGGTAACCACTCACCATCAGGTGGGCCGTACGCTCGTCTGCCTACAAGGGCAATAAAAAAAAAAAAAAAGATAAAAACAACCGGCTCCGTAATATTCGATTAGAGTTCCGTGAATATCTGACCGTACATCTATCAGAATTTCTTCACGATATCTCGTCTAAAGTAGTTGAACTATAACACTCTAATTTAGTTTCTTAATTGTTATGCCAAAAATACGATATTTCGTCACGTGATAATACGGGCAGAATTTATCTAGACGTAATTGACGTAAGTGAATTAATTTAGATAAGATCTAAGGAAAATACATCGTGCTTTGTAAACAAAAGTTGAAAAGAATAATTACTTAAAATTAATTATTATTGTTTTCGCTATCATTGTTCAAGACGAGAACTAAATACAGGAGATTAAAAATTGTAAACATCGAGGTGAATGGTTCGTACTGACTGACGGGATGAGTTTTGTTTATTAACTTTAGATATTTGTTTAAAATTAGATATATGTAAACATATTTGGGTTATGTATGATTTTTGGGGTACCACGTCAATTTTTGATTGTTTTATTTTTTCGGTTTTCTTGAGTCCTAGATATAATTATACTATTTGAACGATTTAATCTCGTATTTATTAGAATAATTAAAACTAACCGGTAGCATGCAGAATATTCGAATGTCGACAGTTAATATTATAGTCATCCGTGACATAAATATAAAATATTTAAAATATTAGGTTAAGCCGTAAAAATAGTAATTTTAGATTAGACAACCACAATAATATATCAAAATATTTTTGACGACTATTATCCTGTCTGAGTGCATAAGGCTTAGTAGCATCGTTCTACCTATTTCGGCCACAAACAAATCTCACGTTCCTTTATAAAACGCGGGTGATCCGTTTTTTTCAATGCAATTTCCAATCCAATCTTGTTCTTTAATTACGCTAATCTAAAGTTTAAAAAACTAAAGGGAATCATGAATAGTTTTTTGAGACAACGATTGTCGAATCTCGTAAAACTGTAAGACTGAAAATACGGAATGATGAATAACTTACGAACAACTTTGTGCGATCACGTATTAGACATGTGGTCACTAAAACAACTTCATTTGCTTTGAATCAGTCCCTATTGTCAGTATAATGAAATCGAGCAATGTTCAAACGAAACGGATTCAAAATAATAATGCCACATGACAGCTTAATGAAGACGTTAACAATTTTCCACGAGCCCCGGATGATGTACGCACCGTGAAATTTACAAAAATACCGCTCGACAACTTTCTGAACTCCCTCAGAGAATTATTACATTAATATATTTACCAAACACGATCCTATTATTACGTTTTCATGTACTCGCTCGCGCATAAATTAAAAAGTTGTCAGTTTTTCTTTTGTCCCGGCCCTTATTTGGTATTCATATTTGATACTTTGTTAATACAAAGGGACGAAGTGTTTTGTAACGAAAATATAAAACGTCCGTAACTTACACGAGAAAAACCTGTTTCGTCAAACAAAGTACGCTGAGGATACAAATTGTACAAGAGCGATCGCTCATGCGCCGGCTCTTATCTACTTTAATTTTACGAGCCATTACTAGTCTTATTCTCAAGGAATAAGCTTGCTATTGTAATGAATCGGACAGCAACTCTTCAATTATGGTCATATAGAATGAAATATGATTTAAGTGAGGATATCAAAGGGCGAAGCGGGGTTGTTTATGAAATGTGAACTTTATGTGTGTACTGCATCGAAACACCCTTTTTTTAATTTGTACTAAGCTATGAACCGTAGCGAAACAGGGTCCCGAAAATATGGCTCAGAGCGTGGCCCGTTTTTTTGCTGATGAATCGATATTTTGTTCGCGTAAACTATATATTTATTGGATAATTTGTAACTATTTCGTTCGGAATTTTCGTGTTTCTTATTGCTTCCGCAACGAATTTCGTGCGACCCAAAAGTCGAAATGATTGAACCTATCGGGCATTCGCCGGCAGCGGCCGACTCCAATTTAGTTTTTCGGATTAGATACGGCGAACATAATAACATAATTGCTCTAATAACAGCCCAAGCGACGGTGCGAGCCGTGCCTTACAATTCACTTTCCAAATTGGTTTATTTTTTTACCTTTGCTCTGTCTAAAACTATTATGATTTATTATCAAATTTTCGTGCAAGCAAATTACGGCCTCGTTTTTCGTGACTCGTATTTCTCTCTCTAACGTGCATCGTGTTTATACATAAGACAGAGACGCAGTAGGTACTATTGTATTTCCTCCATGGCCTGGAGGCCGTACATAGTTGAGACCTGTGGATGGAATGATTTACGAAGCTCTTTTTCTAATTTACTCATTCAGTAATTAGTAGGATTAACATGTTTAGCATGAATCCATATTTTTCAACGTCATCTACCCTATTAAGCTTCCAAATTTTTAATTTTGTAAATTAATTTCAGACCGGAACCTCTGACACAAAGCACCGACATGAGTCGGTGAGTGAGTTATTAGAGAAAAAAAAACCTATAATTTATATTTACTTATGTTTTCTGATTTAAGCTAATTCACGTTCGTTAGTTTATTTATTTTCACTATCAACCATTAACTGTTGTTAGTGAATCTGACATGTATTGTGCAGCCATGAAAAATTTACTATGCAATTTTAATATGAAAAGTACGTGGACATCTCAATCATAACTTCTCATTTCAAAAGACATTGAAGACAGCTTAGAGTGCACACTACATCATTGTAATAATCCGTTATTTAAGAAGGTATGT